CGGCTTCCCCCCCGCTCCGAGTCCGGCGGTTCTCCTGCCGTAAGCCTCTGGAAGCGGGAATGTAAGCCTTAGCGCGGTCTCCTCTAGCGTCACTTGAATCCACCTCCACATTTGAGAAACTTATCATCGACAAAAGCAAAACATCGAGAGTTTTACCGCTACTGAACATATTTACAGGTTTCAGCACGCACACAGCTAATCCGAATGGGGATGGGGACGCCGAAGGTGAGCGGGTGGTAGCTAGCGTTATTTGTTCTTTACGTTCTCAGAAACAAAGAGAAAAATTCAGATTCTCGCCTCTCGCTATTTCATTTGAACGAGACGTTTTTTCAACCACACAGATTTTTATAAACCAAAAAAACAAACCGATACAATGTATTAAAACACAGAATAACAAGAGTCTACATGTAAAAATATAACTTTTACATACACAATTCCAAAATAATGATACGTTTGCCATTTGTTGCATAAAATTTACAAATGTATTTTTCATTACTATATAACTGGCAAAACAGGAGAACAGATGGAACATTTAGACCGTTTGATGGATTTATGGCATTTATTCAGTGTCGATAGGTGGAAAATCTACTCGAACAGGGAGATTTTATTTAAAATACATGCCAGGTCGGTGTGGCTGTAAAAATAGAAACTGGAATTAGAGACAAAAGGATGCTGACAAATACTTAACTAGGAGCACTATCTGTTAATCGTACTGTACACCAAAGTCAATCGTGATTAAGATTCACTATGGAAGTTGGTTCAATTGTGCCCAGACTTCAAAGCTAGTTATCTGATGAGCTGCTGTGCCATAGGTTGAGCTATGTTACTATTAAATATGTTAAGTAAAAACTTCATTCGTACTGGCCAGAGAAATACTGTACTACCACCCCTCCTCGAGAAAGTGCAACTTAATGCTTTAGGACTCATAAGGCTCGGTAGAAATTGCTGCAGGATGACCGAAATTGGCATTTCACAAAGAAAGGAGGAGGCAGCAAGTGGTCTACACTTAAATAATCCACTTAAAAAACGAGAGAAGAACAACAGAAAAAAAGAAGTCGATCAAATCTGTCACACTACTTGCAATTCCCCCCCCTCCCCGCCACGGTCCCCCTC